TACATTTGCCACGAGGAAATTAAAATATCTTAATGTTGGAAATACACGCGTTACTGATAAAGGAGTAAAAGAATTAAAAGGTGAACGTCTTTTCTGTGCATATATCGAGTTGCCGTAAGCAACCATGACATTTTATCACCTATTAATTGGTATTATTTTTTTATGTAGGTTTACCGCATTTGTCTTTCTTGAATTTGGATTTCACTCAAGTATCTTTGTCATGTCGTAACATTTTAGCTGGTAAGAAGGCATAAAATTTCTTAATAACTTATGTAAGAATTTATAACAAAATTTTTAAATATTATTTTATTCATTAGATATTCCCTCACTTCAACCGGTTCGCCTTAATGGAATAACCAAAGAAACTTGTGATGATGAATATTATGATGTTTAGAAAATGTCCTATATTTGGTATGCATACCAATGCTAAACATTAATTTAATAAACAAGTTCTAAATATTCAAATAGATATTTGAGGCTTTTAAGAATAGCCTTTTATATATAAATACATTAGTGATGATTATAGGGCAAAATGTGCTATCACTTCTTTTTTTTGATAAATTCCAATAAGTTTATTATCTGTATTTATACATAAAGACTAAACATTATAAACTATATATGACTACAGTTTTAAAAATTTCGCGTTTTTTTTAGGTTAGAATTAGAGTTTTGCTATTACTATTAGGTTAGGATTAGAAGGCTATAATTATAGCAAATTTCATCAGAAAAGCTTTTTGTTAAAAACGTAATCTTTTATTTTGCTTATACGTGATCTTGATTTAACTGTTAATTCAGCAATAACGATAACCAAATTTAAATGATCTAACTATCAAATTATGGCTTATATCCCAGTATATTAGAAGCTACATGATAGATAGAATTATTTTAAAATAATGATTTATTTCATATATTAGAACCATCTATATTAGAAAACATTGATAAATTATAGAATAAAATACATAATATAAATCATAAAGCACTTTTTTAAACAATATAATTAGTTAAAAAGCGGAGGAATTATACGTGTAAACCTTGGAGTACGAGGAATTTCGCGGCGGTAATTTCCATCTTTCTTATACAATCCGTTATAGTTACCCTTATGACTTCTACCTTTTAATATCTTCATTTGACTTTGATTACCGATATTCATAGTCCTTTGGCTTAAACTACGTTTTCCAACTTTTTTAAGTGAATTTTCGTTTCCATTACAAATATGTTGTTGCTGTTGTTGCGAACAACATTCCGCAATATTTGAATCACATAATTTTTCTTGCTGACATTGATTATACCTTTCACTTCCAATGTCCAAGAATATAGGCGATCGTTTTGTAAATAAAGAGCGGACGGTCAAAAGAGGTGATTTGTAATGAAATGGTAAATTATTTAAAGGTGTACGTTTACACACGATTTTGAAATGGTGTTCATTTTGATTACACGAGGAAACTTGTTGTTCAAGTTCATCACAACTTTCTAGAGCATGATCATTTGAACAACATAACTCGAAACTGTTGCATGAAGCACATGATGAATCTTCCTTCAATTTTGGTGCACAGCAGGGAGCGCGTGTACTAATCGCTGGGAAGCAAGGATTACGAACGCGTAGATATTGGTTAGGAAAGGCTTTAACAATGAGTACAGCGATTAAAGTAAAGATGACAGCAAAATGATAATTGAACAACATATTTATTTTAAATGAAATTGGTAGTATAAATGTTTTTGAAAGGCTGAGAAGGTAGCATACTAACATTATTTATACTTACGACAAGTAATCCATATAATATTTATCAGATTATTGAAAACATCAATAAATTTTTTTGTTCAATTTATCCTAGCAGAATTAATTAATTACGTATTTATTGACAATTCATATTATCAATAAATTGATTAGAAAAAATGAATGATTTCACAAATGTATAGTAACATATTTATCAAATTATTTTTGGAATACAGTATAACCCGTTTGTTTCATAATTCAACTTTCGAATGAACGGGTGCGACTAGTTTTTTTAAGAATTAGAGGTAGTGAGTGAGTGCAAACATGATTGTTACTTCATTGTTAGACTATATGAATTTATTCAGTAATTGTTGATGAACTGGCTGTTTACAGTGATACAAGCCGTGGTTTTTTGACACATCTGCACTGAGTTTTTGTTTTTTACTTCAATGTTAACTTTTTTCTATACTCTTAGGTTCACTTACGCTTGAATTCTCAATGATCAATGCCAAATGGCACGCGCTTTTGTTAGTCTCGTACAATCATGTATTTTTCTTTTTATAAGAGCAATCAATCTAATTTCATTTAATCAACTTCCATTTAGCAAATTTTATAAAATGTCAACACAGTTTATACAGCTCACAAATAATCTAAAATTTTTAAATAAAATTTACTGATACACTAAAGATCATTATTTCTAAACAATACCCCATTTCTATAACATTTCATAAAATACCATAGCCTAAATTGTTTATCTTTCTTTAACATTTCATCCTTTTTTTGTAAAAGTAATAAAGGCGATGGTGATGTCATTAATTCAAGTTTATGGTTATTTGCTAAAAAAATAAAATAAAATATTGACTTAAAAAAAAAGCATAAAAAAAACAAGAATAAATGTTTGATAATCTTATTACCTTTTCTTTCATAAACAACTTCCCATCCTTCAAGAAAATTTTTATCTTTTTTTTCTTTCTTCAACTCAGTAATTTCTTCAACTTTACAAAATTCTTTTTCATAATCTTCTTCACCCTTTAACAGATCAATAACCCCTTCCCACAACCACTTCTCACTTAAAAATGGATTCCCACTAGGTCCATCAATAAATCTCGTAGTTAATTTCCAAACTATTGAATCAGCTTTATAAGCACATGCCATTAATCCCACCATTAATAAATATTTTATTTTTTCCCACCTTTTTTTAGATTTTGAATAATTTTCTAAAAACATAAATCTGTCAATTACATGTATTATTGGTTCTTTACCTTCATATGGTATATACCGTGGTGGAAATGGTAATAAATGTAGCTGATGTGAAATCAAAGGTTGTAGGTGTTTAATCGAATTATTCGGCGGAATGGTCAATAGGTACAAATGAGTATAGCCAAATAGTGCTAATATTTTATCATTATTGTTTTTTATTAATAGATCTCGGAGTGCTATTGCAACATTTTTGTGAGAGTTGATCTATAAATTGATAATATTTATATTAGAATTTTCTTTAAAAATATATAAATTTTAAGTAACAAGGATCTATAATATAATATATACAATAGCTTCAAGTCTTAGATCAAAACAAACATCATTCTGTGCTATGCTGGCAATAAAATCTTGATCTACACCTTCAGCTGGCCAAAGTGAATGCAACATTTCATCAAACTCTTGTTTGGATTTAACGCCTCCAGCATCATCATTACATAATATTGTTTTCCAATACCACTTTCTTATCATTGCAGTCTTAGATTCATAAAAGTTTAACCTTGGTTTATTATCTCTATGTATCGAATTATCATGCTTTCCTTTTAAGCCATCTTCAGTAGTATTAGGTTGGTTAAAAAATAAATCGATTAATTCTGATAAATTATCACAGTCCCATGCTTTCTCAAAATATCCGATAAGTAACGCTCGATAAAAATTTTGATTTATTAAAAGATTGGTGAAAAATGAATAATTATGTAATGAAATCTTTATATGCTTAATATTTTGAGGTGAAGGTAATACTTCATCATTATAGTTGTCAGGATATATTTGAATTGGAAGCATATTCTGATCCGGAAGATATATAGTGATATGAATTACTGAAGTATGCCTGGAGACGAGGTAAAAAAGATACTTCGTGATTATCTCCTGTGCATATCTATTTAAAATATATATAATTAGTAAAAGTATTTTATCTAAACACTATTGATTTGAAATATTTTTCAATGCTTACAATTCAATAAAATTTGGATCCAATTTCACAACAGTTTCCGCTACTGGAATAGGTCTATGATATATTCCCAAATTTTTATAATAATGTAATTTATACGCCTCTTTAAGAATACGTGGCATAGTTAAGAAAATCTCTAATGGATATGTCATTATTGCATAAATCAAACTAAGTAGATTTAGTGAATAAGAATGACCAGATGCTGTCGCAATCAGTTTTTTCCTAGATCGTTGCATTGTTGTCTTACTCTCATAGTTCTCATAGGCGACATTTTCAATAGATACATCATCTGGTTGAGAAGGATCTGTATACATTACTAGTCTCATATCAAGATACCCTGATTTAGGATCTTTACAGAATGCTTTATATATGCCTTTTCGATCATTAAAAGGTGATACGTGAAATGCGCGTTTTATAGTAAAACTCATATCAATCCTATAAAAAATACCAATAAGTTTCGACAAATTATTTATCTAAAAAGTCAACCAAAATCAAATTATTTATTAATAAACATATACATGCCCAAGTCTAGTTGACTCATCAGCTTCACTATCATGATCCAAAATGTATAAATGCTTTTCACCGAAAGTGTTATTAACTTCCAGCACAATGACTTTCAAAGTATTATTAATATCGTAGCAATAATAAAAGCTAACAGGATTAAATGCATAACCACAAAATCTTGGCATTGTAACTAACTCAACTCGACATAGGTTTTCTGTTGGTATGTTCTTGATGCAAATAATTAAAATTTAATGAATTTAATATTTACTTATTAATTAATAATAATATACCTTAAATTTTTAAAGAAATGAAATGTTATATACATGTTTTTTGATATGCCAGAATAGCTTTTCTTTTATTGATCCTTTTTTTTGTGATGTGTCTTTGGTAAGATCATGTTCATTAACATGACCAAGATAGTCATTATCATTTATATTAAAAATTGCCACTCGGTTATTGTATCCTAGTCTTTAAGAACCCGATTAATTCTTTTAAATAAATAAATTCTGAATTTGTATCGTTCAAAAAAATAAAAAAAAAAAGCTCACATAAATCCTCCTCGGCCATTTTTCTCAAGCAATTCCAAATCGACACCGATAAATAAAACTGGATATTCAAAAGCATGTCTTTTTGGAAAAAATCTAGCATGATAAGTTTTACCAAAATAGATTTTTTGAGTTTTTCCAAGTATTGGTTTTGTCAGTGAATTCTTTAAGGTAGATGTAATCAATTTGTATAATTTTTTTATAAAATAAATTATCAACATTACTTCAAAAACATTGATGGAAGGATATTGAAATTGAAGCAAATGAAAAAATGAACTCATTAAAATTAAATATGTTATAATGGATCGAAAAGACATTTTGAAACAGTTAATTAGATGAGTATTGCTCGGCTAACTTTAATATATTCTGTCAAATTTTTAGCATACGTATCACAAGCCAAATTAAGTTAACATTAATCTAAATGCTAGATAATCCAATAACGATACGTAATGGTTGAAACTGCCGATCTTAATGCGGTAATTCGTGGTGATCGTTTCGATTCATCCCATTGAGATGAATCGCATGATATAGAAATCATTGGACTCTGATCAATGAGTCACAATATGGGTAATTTGACAGATAAAAGTAGAGTGGTGAATTATTTTAAAAAAGCAATTATGTCTAAATCTTGTATTTACTTACAGTAAGTTCACAACACGTACAGTACATACATTTATACCGGTTATCCTTCTTCGAAAATATATTAAAGGATTAGAATTATCGTTACGGTAAATTAATGTACGGAAGTTAGTAAAGCAATCTTGTACAACTTGAAGTCTCTTGTCATTCGTGCCTTTGCAACCAGTGATGGTAAATGACCTGGTCATTTGAAAATTTTTTGAATGATCTCAAATGATCCTGAAATGACCGGTCATTTGCTGGGGTCATTTGAGTAATTAGTTGATACAGTAGAAACTTCAAGCATCGGAACAGTATTTTGGTCATTTGCACGAAAAATTATCGATTCCTAATCTATGCTCATAGCTAAGTCACAGGAAAATAAATTACATATTTCTTGAAAGTTTCATAACTTTTTTCAATCTATGTTATATAATTTTTGTAAATAAATTAACAAAAAATTGTTCAAATTACAGTCGTCCTCCCATAAAATCACACAGTTGGGCACATAGTAAACTTTTTCAAAATGTGCTTATATAGAAGTTGTGCTTATATGGAGGTCTTTTTCTTATAAATTAAATCATAGTTTGGCCCAAACATAAATGTGATTACATATGACGTGATTATATGGGAGGTGACTATATGGAGGGACGACTGTACTTGAAACTTTCTGAATATATGGTTTTTAATTATTATCTGATGACCATTACCATACGTTAAATGACCTAAGTCCAATGACTGGTCATTTGTCATTTGAGTCATTTGAATCATTTACCATCACTGCTTGCAACTGCTGAAAACTGTTAAAATATTAGACGTCGCTTTCAAAAGATCGTCGATTAAAATTAACATACCTGAGTTTAAATTTTTACCGGCTAAAATGTAAAATATATAAATTTTCTTCACAATATGGACTTCGAATACTTTATTAGTTCGTTTCTTTCATTTAAACTTTGAAAAACAATATTGAGCATTATATAAATAATCAAAACAAATAAAAGATATATTATGGATTGTTCAAAATACAAACCCATCAGGTAACCATGAAAACCCAAGCTTTAAATATTAGATTCTTAATACTTTAAGTTGGTTAATGTTGGAGTTAGCGAAGATTTGAATGTTTAATCATAACCATGAAACTCAAGTTTGTTTTATTAAAGGCTTTTTATACTGTATGTTAAATCTAAAACCAGGTAACCTTGTAAAGATTCGAATTCTCAACATCGATATGCTAAAAATGTATAGACAAGTATTGCCTTGTAAAGTTATTCAAATTGCGACTCGTACAAGGTGCAAAATTTTTCAGAACTCGGAGCAATTCCAATAGACAAATTCATCTATTTATGAAATGCGGGTTTTCATTAAAACTTTACGCGACTAACAAAACCTTTCAAAAATATTACAAATGAAGTATCTAATCAAGAAACTAATCAAAAGACAAGTAGGTATTGTTATTATAATAAAAAAATTGTGAAAGAGCCAATTAATAAATATCGATATAAAATTGAATATTGCATAAATAATAATAATAAATAAATAAAATTGCTTCTTTTTGTTTGATTAAAATATGACATACGTTAATTTACAAATTTGAAACTACGTACGTCAATTTTAAATTGTTTAATTAGATAAGCTAAAATAATTTTTTTAAATAGATATAAATATTCGTCAATTTATTTTGCTATTAAGTAAATAATTACACTAAAAGGAATATGCCCTATAAATATTGATTACAAATTTTTATTTTAAGTAGTTCTTTATGAAATTTCAGAAAATTATGGAAAGTGAATGAACTGTACATTTACAAAAAGAATACTAGAGTATATATATGGGCTAGGTGCTGAGAAAAGGGACGAAATCGACAAAAAAAAAAGATGATTCTAATCTTATTCTAAATTAATTTATGTAAAAAAAATATCATTTGAAAAATTTGTCAATTTCGTCCCTTTTCTCAGCACCTAGCCCATATATATTAGTAATTTAAGTATATCAAAAGAATTCTATTTATTAAACCAAAATTGACAAATTGACGAAATTCCAAACCAATTAAAGGGAATTATTACAGATAAAAATGTAATAAAAAAAAAAAAGGACCATTTATTGCTATTAACTATTCAAGGTTTTTACAGTAACTAAGAATTTCCTTAGTATTTACTTCATGCTCGAATCTAAATACCAAATCAGTACCATAGGCATATTTTTTCATCGTGCATTTAATATTCTCTATAGAATTTAACTTTGAAATAATCTGATCACCAAAAAGATCCAACATTCTACTCCCACTTGTTTCAAATGGCTTCAAACGCCTTTGTACAGTTTCAATGTAAGGCCAAAGTGAATACATTGTACTTGGATCTCCTTCGACAACCTTTTTTCGATTATAAAAATTAATTGTAACATTATTAAGAAATTCAAATCTCATATCGTAAATGCTGTCAATCAATGCGATGACAAACTCATCTAATCGAGATGCCAAAGTTTTGGAGTCAGGAATTATTTCACTATGTACTCGATCTAGCTTTACAGGAATTTGAAAGTAATCAAGCTCTCTAATTAATTCTTTTTGTGAGACGAATGTGTAGCTTTGCTCTAAAGTATCTTCACCGGGCCACACATTTTCTCCCGTACGATAGAATTCCATTACGTAATGGAATGCTCGTCCGTTTCTATCAAAAAAATATTCATTGCCATTCGTCGGATGAAGCATTGCTCCATTTCTCTCTTGAAACATTGCTCCAAGCAATGTTTTTGGATACGCAGTTAACGTTGATCTATATGTTTCATACTATAAAGATATCTTATTCGTTAATCATATACGTAAATATTAACTTGCAAGAAAATTGAGAATGGTTATTACTTTGATGCCACCAACGTTAAGGATCACCCGCTCGTCACTGGAATTCTTCATTTTGACGTTTATAAGCTGTTAAATGTTAAGGATGGACTAATTAAAGGCTCTTTATATGTTCTGCAAAAGTTTTGTGTTTCACGAAAGGAAAATCCTCACTTGTTCTCGCACATCTTTACCAAAAATAAATAGATATATCTAAAATGTACCATAAGTGATCCTATTTGAGAAATAACAAATTTCGTTTCACTCTGCTTTATATATTTACCTCCGATAAGGATTAGAAATTCCGTATAATAAAGAGTATAGTAACACACTACGTAATAAATTTTATTATTATAATAAAAAAATTAATATTTTCGTAACTTTGCATTTTCAACAAACTTTATACGTATATGATTATATAATACTAGAATACCGCTTACAAAAACCGTTTGAGTTTGTAATCCTAAATTACTCCTGAATTTTATATTTTTGCACCAATCCAATTCAGTCGATCAAAACAAGAGTCACATATGGTGATTTTTGCTAAAAAGAAAATGTCATTTGAATAGAGGTTAGATTGCTAAATATGTATATTTAAAAAAAATTAGCTGTAAATTATTAATTCATAATCACTAACAAATCAATAGACGAATATATACAGTATAATTAAATAAAAACTATTTTGGGTTTTAAAACATTTTTTTCTTTGCTAAGTTTTGGTACGTATAACTATAATTTTATCCAAATCTAAATTCTAGTCTATAGAAAAGTTTACTTGTAGTGTCTTAATAACCTGATTTGTATATGGGTACCACGAAGAAAAACTTCAACCCGAGAATTTAAGTTTATTTGCTAGACTAGACATATGATACGAGAGTAAATTTAAATTTAATAGGTCAGGGTGAAACCCGTGCGGAATTTTAGTAAAATCCACTTTAATCATCAGGTTAGTGTTAGTATAGCGATAGCATTTTTTTATATGTTATTGCGGGTAATGTGACCTGACCGCAGTCACCGAAAACGTGATCCAAGCCATATGATTCGGGAAGAAATGCGCATTGATCGACAAAAGCGAAGGCATTTAATAATGCTAATTCGGGTTTGGCTTGAGGCGAAGCTTCATTGAGAACAATAGTAAGGCGTCTCTAGTATTCACATGGTGGTAACTAAAGTAAATGTGTATAAATTGCTTATAGATCCCCTGATGCTCTAAATAGTCATATTGCTTGTAAGATCTAATTGTAGTAGCAAAGCCCCCACTGCTGTTTGTAATTTATTAAAGCCCATTGATTTCATTTAGCTAAACGAACAGTGTATATAGATAAATAATAAGTAAGAATCATAATAATAAAGACCATCTAACTCGGGGATTCTAGCGGCAGTAGGATCCTTGATTCTCGGACAAAATCTTCCACGCCATCCTTTCTCGAGTAGCCTTAATCTTTGTTGTGTTTTAGGTTGGAGACTCGGTGACCCCAAATCCGCACCTCTACAATGTTATTGCGGATTCAGCGCGTGAAATTTGCTGCGCCCGTGACATGTATATCACTCTCATTAGTATATTTTTACATTGTACATGAAAAATAAAGTTGTACAAGTAAAGCAAAAATCAAGCGAAATTAATAAAATATAGATTTCTATATCAAATCAAATCATCAATTAAAAACATCTGTGAAAATCATTGAAACCAACTCCGCAAATAAAAATTAATAAGATTCTTGATTAGGCTATACAAACTTATATTTTCGGTTTTCACATCACCAAAGTGTCCGCAACCATAGATTTTAATTTTTTTTAAAAAAATTTTATGAATTTTATTGTAAAAATTTTTTTAATAAGGCCACACAAACTTATACTATCGTTTTCATATCACCAACTAACCTTTAGTGACCCGGCGATGGATTTTAATTTTTTTTTAAAAAAAATATATATATATGGGCTAGGTGCTGAGAAAAGGGACAAAATTGACAACTTTTTAAAAAAAAAATTTTTTAAGCTTGAAACCTTTTTTTTACTTAAGGAGCAAATGCTATTATCTTAATAAAATTTTGCAGTATATTTATATTTGTTTAAAGTTCTTATTTTCTTATAATTTATTATAGAATTTAAAAAATCAATTTTCCGCAAAGCTTTTTTTTTTTTGTCAATTTCGTCCCTTTTCTCGGCACCAAGCCCATATGTATATATTTTTAATAAAAGATTTTTTTAAAAATTTTATTGACGCACAACCGAATACCCAGTAAAAACCTTACATGCTAAAAATTTAATAACATGCGAACGGATTCGGTATTTTTACTGAGCATGAAAGGTGATTTATCGTTTCACTAGTCTAAAATAAATTGGGTACATAGCTGCGCAAAGTAATCCAAGAACATATTATGATCACTAGACTCGTATTAAGGATCCAAATGCAGTAACAAACTTTCTAATATTTATAAAAATATTACCCAATAACAATTATTTTATTCAAAGTATCATTTATCTTGTCAATTGATAAAACTTGTGGTATACCATATGAATGAACGAAATTATATAATTGAATAAATATAATATTTATAGTATATTTGATATTTCTTTACAAAACTTTCTTACAACCTTCTTTGAAAACATATTGTGCATCATTGATAAATGGTTTCTAAATTTTTTAATTCTTACAAAAAACAATTTTTATACATTAATAAACAAAAAGGATATAACTTCATCAAAGATCAAATAATTACTTATCTAATTACTGAATTTAAAAATTGTTTTTACAATCTTATCAATTTTTTATAATTAATTTATTACAAAAAAGAACTACCATCTTGATTAAAGCTACTTTCTATCATATTTACACATATACTGACAATATATATAGGAAATTGATATTTCTACACCTTTTTTTAATATTGTTACACCCCTGTTAATAAAAATCAATATAAATTATTAGAGTTTGGATAGGGTTTAGAGTGTGGCAATATCAAAAAAGGGTGTAAAAATATCAATTCCCTATATATAATATCTTTTTCTATAATACTCTTTATTTTTTTATAATTTGATATTTTTTTATTTTCATAACTTCTTTTATACTATATTTATCTTTATTTAAATTTTTCAATTTTTTCAAAAAAACTATTAGCTACAATCTTTACAAAATTATTTTTACTTAAGTTATTTAAAGAATTAGCTAAATAGCAAACCAAAAAAAAAAAAAAAAAAAAATTTCAGAACAAAATCATTTACAACTCTTTCCGCTGATCATCAAAACACAAATTTTCCAAAACACAAAATTAATAAATATTATGAAAGACACAAAAAGCTACTAAGAAACAAATCTCAAAGCTCTAAGAAAAGAAGAAGAGGACTACAAGAAATACTCAGTCTCTTAGGAGACTTGAGTAAAAGGAACAGAAGTAGCAAAGAAATAAAAGAAGTT